GTAAGTTTTTATAATAGTGGTCTCATACACTATTTATTTGTCCTTTTGTGCCTGAATATTTCACTCAGCATAATGCCTTCCAGATTCATCCATGTCATGAGATGATTCATGGATGCATCATTGTTCTTTATTGTTGCATAGTAGCCCATCGTGTGTATGTAGCATAGTTTATCTTGATAGGCACTTAGGTCTGGTGTTTTGAGGTGAATCTGAGTTCTGCGCCACGGTTTTCTTCCACTCTGTCAGGGAGTCTCTGTTGTGCTCCCTGTCAGGGCAGTCATTGATGGTAGCCAGGTGCCATCTAGTTTCTTCTGGTCTTAGGCTGATGGAGTCTCTGATTTATGTGGCCTTTTTGTCTCTTGGGCTAGTATTTTCCTTGTGTGTTTGGTATTCTTCATTCTCCTTTGTTCCAAGTGGGTTGGGACCTATTGATGCATCTAGATGGCTGCTCGCAAGCTTTTAAGACCCCAGACACCTCTCACCAAAGTGGGGTGCAGAACATTTACTTAATAAACTTTGTTATGCCAATTGACCTTGATGTCACCCAAAATCATGATCCCCAGCCCCCAGCCCCAGCTACTCTGTCCTCAAAGTGTTTCCTTGTGTTCAGGAAACTTCTTAGTTCTTGCTTTGGTCCAGTTGTTCTGACATCCCCCTGTACTGCATGTTTCCCGCTCTGCACCTGGAACAATTCTTGTCTATTCTCTAGTTAGTAAGTTCCTCTCCCTCCTTCCCCACCCTTTTATGCTTTTTTTCTGTGTTTAAACCTTTTCTTGAGTGGTCTCATAGAATGTTTGTCCTTTTGTGACTGACATTTCACTCAGCATAATGCTCTCCAGATTCAGCCATGTTGTCAAATGTTTCACAGATTCATCATTGTTCTTTATCAGTGCATAGTATTCCATTGTGTGTATGTACCATAATTTGTTTACCCATTCATCTGTTGATGACCATTTAGGTTGTTTCCATGTTTTTGCTATTGTGAATAGTGCTGCAATAACATGGGTGTGCATATGTCTATTTGTGTGATGGCTCTCATGTCTCTAGGATATATTCCTAAGGATGGGATTGCTATGATATTTCTATTTCTAGCTTTTGAAGGAAATTCATATCAATCTCCAAAATGGTTGTACCATTTTACATTCCCACCGGCAGTGCATAAGA